TGCGTTCCTAGACCTTGGCTCTACGATTAGTGTCTACACGCTAGGCCAAAACAAGGCACTAAGTGGTCGAGTGATACCGTATGATCGCGCTATTTCACAAATGACTCAAAACAGCCCATAATTCACAAGGCATCGTATAAGCGTATCAATTTTTCTATAGATTCGCCCTAATTTAACCCGAACACCCGTCATACCTTTATATATCTACCTACATCCTACTTTTGGAATGTCATTCTCAACAAGAACTGCCTCATAGTGTTCCCCATGAGACGAGCCTGCTCGAGACTTTTATCAATTCTACTCGGGCCTGTCTCGAGCCCGCCAAGAATTGGTAATCATAGGGAATACTATGCTAAATTTATATTAGTTTTAGCCAAGCAGAACCTTTTTGTCGTGACTACTTCAACCATCCCTAACCATGGCCTCTCAACTGATGATAGTACCTAATTCTGAACTATAGATAGTTTCTAAGCCTTCAAATCCTTGCCAAACAACAGCCTGGCATCGACTTCTAATGCCTCTGTAGGATCTCTCAATAACATATGCTATCACTCGGAAAAGCTCGAACAGGCTCGAATCTTGTGAGCCTGGGCTCATAAAATGAGACGAGACGAGCCCATCACCCCCCATGAGACTAGACGAGACGAGCCTATGCCCTGGGCTCGTCTCGAACAGGCTCATGGGGAACACTACTGCCTCACAACTACGCAAGAAGTAATTCACGCGGCAAACAGCTCTATTTCTTAATATAAAAGCTTAATACAACAAACAGCCATCTTCTTTCCCAGCCACTCGCGTATTCATGCAATCATTAATATTTAAACGTCCCCCATCAGCTTATTTCTTGTCAACCTTGGCGATATATGAGATCAAGTCCAAGACACGACGAGAGTAACCCCTAGAAACTTATTAGCCTTTTTCGTGCCTGCTCAGATAGTATGATAGCTTACCATTCATTATCATACCAAGCAATAAGCTTGACAAAGTTAGCATTGAGCGCAATTCCCGCCTTGGCATCGAAGATGCTTGAGGCGTCGTTTCCGTTGATATCAGTAGACACAATCTCGTCCTCGGTGTACGCAAGAATTCCCTTCAATGGGCCGTCGGCAGCCTTCTTGACGGCAGCCTTGATCTGATCGTAGGAGGCACCCTTCTCGAGGCGTACGGTCAAGTCGACGACTGAAACGTTTTGGGTTGGCACACGCATGGACATACCGGTGAGCTTTCCGTTGAGCTCTGGAATGACCTTTCCGACAGCCTAAGGGGGTGTTAGTAGTATTTTTAGGGTGATAGGAAGGGAGCATTTGCCTTGGCGGCACCAGTGCTGCTGGGGATGATGTTGGCGGCAGCAGTACGCCCACCACGCCAGTCCTTAGCGGAGGGACCATCGACGGTCTTCTGTGTAGCAGTGTAGGAATGAATGGTGGTCATGAGACCCTCAATGATGCCGAAGTTGTCATGAATGACCTTTGCAAGAGGGGCAAGGCAGTTGGTGGTGCAGGAAGCATTTGAGAGGATCTGGATGTCTTTGTTGTACTTCTCGAGGTTGACTCCGCAGACAAACATGGGGGCATCAGCCGATGGGGCAGAGCTGGAGGGGTTGTTAGTACGATGGTATAGAAAGTGTGGGCTTGCGGAATGGGGCGACAAACATGACGACTTTCTTGGCTCCACCTTTCAAGTGAGCAGAGGCCTTCTCGTTGGTGGTGAAAACACCGGTAGACTCGACGATGTACTCTGCACCGGTGTCTTTCCATGGGATGTTGGCGGGGTCACGCTCCTGGTACATCTTGATGGTCTTGCCATTGACGATGAGGTCGCCGGCGTCGTTGGAAGAAATGTCTCCCTTAAAGTTACCGTGGGCAGAGTCGTACTTGAGCATGTACACCTGTAGTAGGGGGATGTATGAGCTCTGCTTTGATTTATGGAGCTTTGACGGATACTCACAGCATACTTTGGGTCAATGAAGGGGTCGTTTACGGCAACGACTTCGATATCATCATGCTCGATGCTAGTAGAAGGTAAGCTGAGATTCTTATCTAGAGGTTATCATTGACAAACATGATGTTTGACAAGACCAACGGAAGAAGAACGATGGAAAACTTACGCATTACGGAGGACCTTTTAGACCAGAAGATATGGTTAATAAATTTATTCATTAACTACGAATTCAAGTAGATTTTGTTGACATACGATACGCCCAATACGCCCGAAACCACTATCCAGTTATTTGTATTAGCTCTGATGTGACCAACAACTTGCGAGTTAAAACTTACTTGATTCCACACTTGACAACCATTTTGGAATTTATCTATCCGGGTGTGTATCGTTAGTTATTCTCCTACTTTAAAGATGACATCATCGAGTACACAAGCTGATATACTAGTATATTCGTTGATGGAGCATCAAACTTACTTGTGAAAGATATTTCGCTGTGTAAAGAATTCGGTGTGATGGTAGAAAAGAATTTCGATGAAAATGAAGAAGACGAGAAAGTGAAGAGGAGAACGAGGGAAGCAGCAGGAAAGGATGTCCTTTATGTTGTAGCAATATACATGTCCCTATAAATCTTGGCCCAGGATTGTGGATTGGATGGATTGCCTTACAACACAATAACCCCTCTACTAGCGCGGGGCAACAAAACATCCCACTTTCACATTATTATGTTCCCGCGTCATTCGATTGAGATGATTATCGGAGCGGCATCTCGCAAACCAGAAAGCCTTACAGGGTGCTGCTGCCGGGGCTGCCGCTGCTCACTGCTCACTTGCTTGGTTGCCATACATACGAGTGTTTGTGATACTCTACGCTCAGATAAACGGACGGCTTTCTTTCCTTTTTGCCACTCAGCGATGCAGCATCATATTGTAATTGTCACATCATCCGAGCAGCTTCCTCCTGGTCTTGGATGGAATTGCTTCCCCCATCTGATAAAAGCATTCTCACAAACGATGTGGAGTACGGAAACGTTTAGGTGATGTCACCATTTCTGTGATACTAATATTACGCCTAATATAGTTTGGGGCAACAGATTCAGCCTCAACTTTGTTACTCTCCTGTGCTGGAGATGCCCGTTGGAACATGATGTCGCTACCCACTGCAGAAGGTGTTCAAACGGAACATTTGGCGGGGCTTGCGTTGCTGCTGCACGCTTTGGGGTTGGCCAGTGCATGGGGGTTGTCTCAGATGGCTAAGGTAATAGCAGATGTCGTACATGCCGAACCTCCACCACATGGATGGACGTTGACGACGTGATGCTCAGACCCCTCCCTGTTGCCTGAGTCGTCCAATGTAAATCCATTGATTATTGATTAATACTCAAGATAGGAGCAAGGGGAGGGGTCAATTAACTCTCGTGCGCACAAAAAGTGATAAAGAAACCAAGCAGATACATAATAATTCATGTTCAATTGCAATCATCGGATGGAAGGCTACTGGGCGCGAAACGGTATGTAGCGGGGTGGAGGGGAAGGAAGAGGTTACCAGGACAATGCGATTGTCCTTCGGAATAGCAAACAACGCTGCCCGCCGGGACTTCTCGCTAACAAGTTCTATTCCAGCCTCTCACATCCAACCTTCCCATCCCACAATCATACGACGTCGTCTCTTTTCCCCATCCCCGACTGATCTGAACCCTAGAACCCCCCCCCCCCCCCAATCTCCACTCGTTCCCTTTTCCTCCTCTGTAGATACCATCAACCAACCCACCTACCACGTTATCTAAAAAAAAATCATAAAAAATTATGTCTATGCTACGAACCTCGGCCCTGCGGTCTGCTAGACTCGCCTCAACCCCCCTCCGTGCCGCGACTGCGGTCGTCTCACAATCCCGTAGCGCTTCGCATGCGGTCTCCAATGTCACCCTCGCTGATATCGAGAAGCGGTGGGAGTCGATGCCGCCAAGTGAGCAGGCAGACCTGTGGATGAGCCTTCGTGACCGCATGAAGGAGCCATGGAGCAACCTGACAGTGCAGGAGAAGAAAGCTTGTAGGTATTCCCTTATCCAACCTCAAAAAAGCCTCAGTTCAATCATTACAACCCATCATCATCATCACGAGATATCTCATCATACCATATAAAACTACAAATACAAACCACAAATACTATCTATAACCCCACTGCTAACACCTCAACCAGCATACTGGGTCGCTTTCGGACCTCACGGACCCCGCGCCGTCCCTCCCGCCGGCGAGAACAAGAAGATTCTTACGTACACTCTGCTCGGTCTCGGAGCGTCATTCTTGCTCTTCTACTCGACCCGCCTTATGGCCCGCCCGCCACCAAAGACCCTTAACCGCGAATGGGAGGAGGCGTCTAACGAGTTCCTGAAGGCGCAGAACGTCGAGCCTATCACCGGTGTCTCGAGCGAGGGATACACTGGAAAGGGACAGGTCCAGTCAAAGTAATTGGGCCTGGTAATGGCTATGATGGTAGTGGGTGTATTTGTTGATAGTGGTGATTTTAGACGGGCGGCATGGTGCAGAAAAGTGGGGAGATACAGTACAGTAGTAGTAGTAGCAGCAGCAAAGCAGTACATTCAGTTGTTGTAGCGAAAAAAAAATCGCAGTTCTATATTTTTTTTAACATTTTTTCAATGAATTGTGGTTTCTTGGTTTTAGTTTTTTGTGTGTGATTTCCAAGTATTTTTTTTGGAGATTCAACAAGTGAAGTCATATATATATATATCAAGGGACCAGGGTCTTTCTATATAGGGTTGATTGTGTTAGTAGACTCGGAGTAGCGGACAATTGAATTGATCGATTGCAATTGATAGATTGCGGGGATATTGAGTGTGTTCCCTCGGCGTTGAAGAGTGGAGGTCCAAACTCTTTCTTTTTTGTCTCAGACACCCACCAACCACATACAGCAAGCAAGGGGACGCTCTCGACCAACCACCTGCAACCGCCAATCAATTAGGATCTGCGCCTGGCAACATAAACTTCAACACAGTCCACACGTTCAACAACACCGCAACGAAACACCACGAGAACAACGCAAAAATGGGGTCGAAAAGCAAGAAAAGAAAGCACGAAGACTCGGATGCGATCACGCTCGTCGGCTCGCATTCACATAAGGAGTCCGGGCACAAGAAATCAAAGGCACGTCTCTGCTCCTTCTACAAAACTACATAACTGCATAACTATGAATTGAACCAAAGTTCTTTTGCTAACAAATTCTTCAGAAAGAGAAAGCTGACAAGACTTCCAAGGAAGTCAAGCAAGTCAAGCAGCACAAACCCAAACATACAGAACCACCAGCCCCCAAAACTGTACCTCGTCGTACTCCCACAGCTGTTTCGTCCTCGCAGACCAGTGGATCATCCAATGAAACAGTTGCCGAACAGTTCGACAACTTTCGCCGTACATTGAAAACCCTACTTTCCACCAAATCTGATATCCCAGAGCTTCGCGGCGCCCTTGGCGACCGCAAAGCCAACTTCCTCGCCGCGCTTCGCACAATGAAGACCTCCGGCGACCTCCCATGGCTGTCCTCGCCATCTACTAGCGACCTCTCTAGTCACTCCGACAGCGGCGCTTCCGACAGCGACTCCGACAGCGACCCCGGCAGCGACAAAGAGGCCGATAATGACAGCTCCCCACCCCCCAAGGCACTCCCCAAGACACTGCCCAAAACGCCCTCTCTCACACTCGGCCGCCCCGCCACCCTCTCAGCACCCACTCTCAACTGGCCTCCGCCTCTCCCAGAGGTCAAAAGCCACAAACTCCGCCAGCAAGCCTTCACACATAAGTCCTTCATCAAAGGTGAAGAAGTCTCTATCCCAGGCACTGAGAACCGACACTATGAGCGCCTCGAATTCCTAGGCGATTCCTACTTGCAGTCCATCGCCTCCCATATCCTCTACGACTACTTCCCTACCCACCGCGAAGGTTCGCTCTCTGAAATGCGGCAGTCACTTGTCGCGAACAGGCCGCTCAGTACCTACGCGACGCTTTACAAATTCCACTTGCGCATCCGCGAGGGCAAAGGCCAGGAAAACACTTCTCCAGTGATGCTCCCGAGCGCGTTGCCCAGTATATCTTCGGGGCCAGGGTCGCCAGAGTCGGAGTCACTAGATAAGGAGAAGGAGAAGGCCCCGACAGAGACCAACAAAACGCTTGCGGACTGTTTCGAGGCTTATATTGCGGCACTGGTGTTGGATGATCCGGTGCATGGCGTGCAGACTGCTAGGGAGTGGTTGGAGAAGCTGTATGCGCCGAAGTTGGCCGAGTTTGCGAAACAGTACAACATCGCTCCCATCGATAAGATGGCGAAGCAGACGCTGAACACAATTGCAGGAGGTAGTCGTGTCACGATAGAGTATAGGTGGGATGGAAAGTATGGAGGGAATAAGGGTGGGTATAGCATTGAAGTCTATCTCACTGGGTGGGGGTTCAAGGAGAGGTTGATAGGGAGAGGCTGGGCAACTAATAAGAAGTATGCATTATCCTCTCCTCCCTCTAATCACAGTGCCAAGACTAATTAATACTTCCCAGTGATGCCGCCCTCCGCGCCGCAATGAACGTAATCGCCGACAAAGAATTCTGCGATGAAATGACCCGAGTCCGCCTCGCCGTCCTTGGCCCCAAGCCACCAACCACAAACCCACGCACAAGAAGAAACCCAAGCACGAGTACACCCACCCCGCCACCAGCAGCCACCCCTTCTTCCTCCTCGGGTCCCCCGCAACGCGTCAAGCACACAAAGAGGCCCGTTGCGCGTAACGCGGACGAGCTCAATTATGACGACTAAGTGGCCACTAACGACTAAACAAACAGCATTGACAAACTTCGACCTTCTTCCATTTTTTTCTTCTTCCCCACAACTCTTCTTTCATTTTTTATCATCATAGCTCAGCGAGCGATATGGCGTCCAAAATCTTCTCTTACGGGCATTTTTTATTCCTATGGTTTTCATTTGTCATGGTGTTGCATTTATTGTATCTACATATAGCTTTCATCGGCATGTTTACCTGGGGCCCGAATGCATATTTGGCTAAAAAGGATGGTGTGGTTACGGGTAATAAATTTGATGCACTCAAGTTCTTGATTGTGTGTTTATTGCAATGTACTTTGTTAATGCTTTTAAATGAGGATCCGAGTACCATAACTTCAGTGGTGTTTTGAGATTCATGAGCGATCACTCGGTGGTTTTTGGTACTACGCTTTGTGAAATGTATCCCTGTAGCCTTCATATTCTCTCTTTCAAAACACATCCCCAGAGGTTATATCCTATATATTTAATCCCTCAGTCTATGATAGAGCTTTTTGCTGTGAGTGTGAACCCTACACGGTGAACCCGGAAGTACTGGGATCATAGGGTATCACTCGCGCGAAATTACCATCGATACTGACCTCATGTACCTCTCGGTTAAGCTTGTATCCATACAAAATTAATCAAGGTTAACACCAGCAAGGAGTATGATAATCAAGGTCGGATGTATTGTTAGCTAACTAGTAAGAGATGTGAACACTCCAGTGAAACTTGGATCTGAGATGCCTTTCATATTATACGACAAGAAATGTCTTTATTTCAATCTGATAGATGTGGCCGTCATACATGCCACGTGGTCCACAATGCCATTCGAGGCAAAGAACTAGAATTTCCCTAAAGGTACTCGTTGTTAACATCTCCGAAATCTCCAACACTGCAATCCTGAGACCCGAGCTCGGACCACCTATCTATGCGCCTTCGATGCAAACCCACACTGAAGCCGTTCACCATGTCTAGGCCTTAGCACACAGCTTCACAACCTATTTTACAACCATACTCTAACCCACACCCTTCCACATCCCGTTCTCTTTTGTTTTCTTTCAGCAAAGAACGCACCAACCCAACAGGCTTTTGGTTTTTGGGTCTTTTTATCGAGAGCTTAAGAGCTTATTGTGTTCTGGTGGCGATATTTTTTGATAAGCTGTTCCTTCCCCCTTTTTAAATAGATAATCATTGCTATCCCCGCTCTTCACGTTATCGTCCACCTTCGGCTCTTGGAAATTTTCCGTCTTGGGTTCTGGGGGGGTTTGGGTTCTGAGTTTTCGGATTTTGAGAATTGGGGGTAGGCTTTCTTATGAAGGTTATATACCCACCATAGACCAACATGGGACCCTTGAGTGCGAGACTATCGGGCCCGAAGCTGCAATAAGGATAGTTTTGTTACTCAGACCAGGTGCACATATACACCAACGGCACGATCACAAGATGAGATGTTTCTCCTCCGCAGTCAAATAACACATGGAACATAATATCAAGGCCGCTGGCGGGTCTCGAAAATTATGTTAACTACAGAGCGTTGGGACTGCATGCTTCCTAGATTTAATCATTAATATAATCAATTAACTCAGTCAATGTAAGTGTTTTCGCAGGTGAACGATCCGGCTGAAAAAAGTTCTGGTAACACAGTTCACTAAAAGTTCTAGAGATATTCATTAAGTGGCTAGAACATCTTGAAGTACTAGATAATCTTAGGGTAGTAATCGCCATAAGAAATTCGCGATCCGGCTAGGATTTTTATTAATGATGGGCACGAGACTCACAGTCCCGAGACTTTGTCTCGAGACCTGACGAGACGACCTTGGGACAAGACGAGATGTCTCGAGAGTTTTTCTCCAAATCTCGAGATAAGTCTCGAGACTTCTGAGTGATGTTAAATGATCCAAATCAAGGGCTCTTCCTAATATTTAGGCTTCCTCATGCTCAGATTTCCCCATATACAGGCTTCTGAAAATTGAGTATATATTTTAGACCTGAATTCTATCCACAGTTTATTGCAAAGAATGTCTGGTCCCTGTTTAAAAGTGAACGTTAACGGATTTGGGTACAACTTCTTACCTCAAATCCGGATTGAGTTTAGCTTATAACAGTCTCGAGACGAGTCTCGAGACTTACCTCAGGTCTCGAGACTTCCAAGATTATGGTGGGGCGAGACAAGACAAGACGAGACTTGGTGCAAAATGGTCTCGTCTTGTCTCGTGCCCATCATTAATTTTTATGATAGGGGTGCAGGGCTCTGCAGATTTTCAGTGGAATAGATATATGGCTATGAGATATGTCAATGTGGAGATACTGTATTTTAAGACTCTCACGGAAGATATCACTGTAAAGTGAGCTTGTCAAAGGGTTGGGTGTTCATGAGATAGCTACATGTAGGTATCTCCTGAAAGATTCAATATTTGTCTACCAATTGGCTTTTTTACTACCCTGGCGAGATCAGTAGTCCTTCGAGAGCAATACGTTTAAATAAAGTAGTGGCAGTACTATTGGGGCAGGTCTGAAGTTTGAGTATATGAATGCGCTCTGATTCGCCGGATTAGAAGCGGAATTGGAACTTTCATTAGAGCACCTTCTCTTCGGCTTTAAGCAGTGGGTTAGTTTGCCCTCTCAAATTAATATCTGGCTTTTACTAATCGATTTCACTCTCTTTGCGGCTTGATATGAATTACCCATGGTGTTTATGGATGTGGGTCTCTCCATCCGTCCACGGGAGAGATATTGCCTTTTTGAGCAATTAATAGATCTAGAACAATTGGAATACCACCTATATTGCTCCAAATAGCCGCAACATGCCTAATACTAGCGGCAGATGTGAGCTTTTGACGTGTCATAGCCCTCCAGTATCATCATCAATGATCAACCAGATCACCAGTCAGGGCCTGTAGTAAATCTATTGGCTAGACATCCCACACTGTGAGGTTCTACTAAAGACCTTGCATTTCCGGCCCCAGTATCGCAGTTACAACATTAATATTAATCCTTGACGGAGTGAATTCACATGTGCTTACTGATCATTTACATTGGCCGTAACAGTCTAGCAATCATATCACTAGTACGGCATCTGTAAATATCACTCGTATCGCCCCGAAACTCACATTCTAATCTAATCAGGGGCAATATTTCGCTCTGGCCATACATCGTGCTCTGATAAGGTAGGGCAGTGCTAATGTAAAGAATCTGCCGTCGCTTAGCTGCCTAGCGGGAGGCTGCTCTACTTTATGGAGCCCAATTAAGCAAAGCTTAGTAGCAGTAGTATTACGTAGAGTAGATGCGCTGATCACCAGTACTCATTGGATCAATAGTAGCGCAACTATCCCTATTGCTTGATCTGAATCAGCCCTTCAAGCAACACCCGTACCTCAGATCAGCTCAAGGACTAGGATACTCCACCATCATATCATCCCCCAGCCCTGCCCCTGATCGATATCGATACCAACTAATCTCATTAATCTCCCCCAATAGCAAAACCCACCACATCTCAGCTGTTAATATATGGCTCAGCCCGAGTGACCACTCATGAGCAACAACTCAACCTAACCCAGCTCGTCGGACCCAATAACAACAACATCAGAATCCTCGTACTACATAAACAAACAGCATCCCTGCACTCTGTCTTGTGATGTTCGAGTGGGGAGCCAATGATACTTGTCCACAAAGCAAAAGCCCGCAGTGAAATTTTTGCTATTTCCCCGCCCCCGGCTATGGGCTAGAGGATAGAGCGGTGAGGGGATATTATAGATTAAGAGTTTTTTTGGGTGGTACTTGATCGAAGACGATGGATGATGGTGGGAAAGGGAGTAGGTGTGATAATGGTAATGGAAACGATAAAGAGGTTTACTAGATGAATATCAAGTAGAACAATAAAAAAACTTCGCAACCGTACCCGCAGGATTTTTTTTTACTAGTAGAATACACTCTCCTTCGCCTCGAACCCCGCCTCCTCAGAGTGAACTGTTTTGGTTCATATAAACAAACAAACAAATAAAAACAACCAGCAAAGTCCTCACTAACATCCACCAAACCCTTCGCGAGAACGTCCAAAGACACCCTCTTCCCCATTACAAGATTACACGAAAATAAAAACGCACGCTTTCAAAACACCCAAACACAAAAACACCCCTAAACCCCCTAGAAGTAGAAGAAACCGAACCCTCCCTCATGTAAGAAGAAAAGAAAATTCGTCATAAGAGCTACTTTACAGAAAAAACAAACAAAGAGGAAGGGCGGGTTGTCAGAATGTAAATGATCCAAAGGATCTAAATCGAGGTAAAGGTTAGCTAGCAAAATGAGGCGTAATCGGAATTATATCGCTAGAAGAAAATAATGCTGAAGTCGGCATGTGTAAGTCTGTATAAAAGTCCGTGATGGGTATGTCCGTTTATAGAGTTGCAGTCGAGAAATAATAGTTGTCCCACAAATATTGGTAATCATCGACTAAGCCCGCTACGAGATTGAGCACCGGTTTATCGGCGAGCTTTGATGTTATGGTCTTCAACCATGGTCTATAACACACATCATTAGCCCCCATCCTTTTCTTAAAATGAAACAGATCGAAAAAGAACATACCCAGAAACATTCTCATAGAAGGCTCCCCTCATAGCCCACCAGCCCATCGACCATGCCCTTCTTGTCAACTCCTCCCTCTCAAGCGCAGTCAACCCTTTCATTCCTCCCGGCACAGTCAACTCAAAGTCCCTCTTCGCCAGCTGCCTAGCGGCGTACTCAAGTGATACACCGACTAGCCACGGTCGCCAGCTTTTCTTATCATGCGCCCATTGCTTCATTGCAATCGCATATACAACTGGCCTAATGATGTAGAGAACCTCGGCGAAGTAGCCGGTTCCTTGCACGCGGTGAAGAAGTTGGTTCGGCGGCTTGACATCCTCGGCGGTTAGGACCTTAGTCAAAAGGTACTGTGAAACCTGGCCGCTGGCCGGGAGGGATGGGAGCGAGAGGCCTGTGCGAGGCATGCGCCATGTTGTCTCTGGAGGGGGTGACTCTGGGTCAAGTTGCTCCTCGAGGGCTGCGGGGTCGACCTCGCGCTCTGGGAGAGGGGGTGTAAGGAGTGGGCGCGAGTTTGTAAGACGTAGGAGAAGGAGTCGGCAGACAGCTCTGTATACAAGGTTAGTATTGGATTGTTGTTTATTCCTTCATCGCTTATCACGATATGGAAGGATGATGCTTGTCGGGTAGATCTACTTTGCCGTCTCCAAGATAATGACAGTCCTCCATCTCATCTTCTGCCCCCGTCTCTTCGCTGACATCTCCCACAATAGCTCCGTGTACTGGATCATCGTGACGATCAACGCAAGTCGCTTGTACCCGGGGCTCTTCTGTGTCCAGAACTTTGTGTACCGGGAATGCGGTGATGGTTTCGGCCCAGGCGCAGGGAGATGCGCCCCTGCGCGCGCGAGTACAGAGTCATGGTAGAGTGATAGAAGCTGGATACCACTGTGTATGGACTCAGATGCAAGCTCTACATCTTTGAAGCGAGCTTCAACCACAATATTATGTCAGTAACGGCTATCGCGATTGAGTTGTTTCACGGAGCCACAGGGGAAGCATATGTACCAGGCACAATGTATGTAAGAGAGCGCAGAGCACTCTCGATCTGGGAGACCGCTCCAGCATTCTTTGTGATGAAATCGCCGTACATGTTGAGATATGGGCGGAAAGCGTCTAGTTTGGACACGCTGCCCATGGGATGTGGGCTAAAGATGTGCGGAGGTGCTGCTCGGAGGAGAAAAGGGGAAAGGGTGTGGGCAGGGTGTGCTGATGTTATAGGAGGGAGAGGAACGACTCGCGTGGGTAAGTGTGGGAGAAGTGTTTTCGATCTATTATCTATGCGTGTGGTGTGGTATGTGTGAGCTGGTCCAGTCGCATCTCATGCTTGGATGAGGGGATGGAATCGGGAGGAAGATCAGGATAAGAGTGGAGATTCAGCCCGAGATTTCGCTCCCGTGGTTCCCTTATTTCTTGACTTCTTTCTTGCGCCTGTAGGCAATCTTCCTTCGCCAATTGATGATGAAAGAGGCGAGTTTGAGACTCAGAAGGGGGCTGGTTGGCTGCCGTGATTCCCTGTTCATTCGCCCCAGCGCTTGGATTTTGTAGAGTAAAACTGGGTCTGATTGGGCGTATCGTTGATCACAGACAGGTACCTTAGACAGGCCTCGGACCGAGCTTCTGTATCGGTTTAGATGCACGTGCCATCACCACCATCCACTTGGCCATTCCTGATCACTGGAGATCACTCGCTGTTCCCTAGGTTTGCGAGAAGAGACGTTGTTCAGGCAATCGATCTATGCACACCCATATTACTCTGAAGTCTTTCGGAGCAGCAACGGGATAGCATCCACTAGCTCATTGACACTTTGATCTGCCTTCGACCAGGCCATGCAAGGGCAGCCAGCCGCAACTAACCTCAGGATGGAGGGGCATCTCATCCTGCCGTTTTGTCGTTTCACATGCTTTACCCGCTTGGGTGGTGGGGGTAACGATGGGCTCTCCAACGGCCCATAGCTCCCAAGCTCCATAAAGCTGGCCAGCAAACACCAAAACTACCGGAAGTCCGTGGGGAAGTACTCCTGGTGGTACACTGTCCTGGTTCTCCTAGATCTGATGTTTCGAAACGTTTCAAACTTTCGGGGAGGAGGGAGAAATGATAGAAGCTTCGAGCAACTTAAGAGCACCTGAGAGCGCTCGACGGGACAGAAAACGCCGAGAATGTCAACTCACAACTTTTGAACACCTGTCATCTTTCAGATTTCTATCTATCACAGCATGAGGGACAAACGCGGAAACCCGGTATTATCATTACAACTGGCCATATATTTCCTCATCTCCTTCCATCTGGGGCCTTAACAACTACATGTGGATCTATACGGGCAGTCAGAAAATAAAACAGACAAACAAAAAACAAGAAGCGTCTTGTGATTAGTTATGGAACTTGCCTCAATATGTTTCAGTAACATAGTGGAACATATGCCACCAAAAATAGAAGAGAAAATCAGGCAGATACGTGAGTGTTAGTCCCAACCAGAACACGGAAACACATTTCTCTTTATTTTTCTCCCTCTCTAAAAGATCCTCTTGCCTGTCTTTTTATGTCATAGCAGTCCAAAATTCTGTCATATCTCATCATACAGGCATGTAGCATGATATGAAACATACTTGTAGTTTCCCCAGTACGTCTACAAAAAGAACACATTGCAGCTAATTATACTACAGTCTGATGAAGTCGCTGATATTCTCACTCATACCTACACTTTGTAGCAGATATTATTGACTATTAAGGAATAGATTCCCCTTCTATGGCCAGATAAGAAGCTTTCTTCTAGATAGGCGGCTTATATATTACAGGATGGGGGAGAGAAATGGTCGAGTCTCATTCAATGGCAAGGACTCCGGGTGCAGGATTTGGCCTTTCAGATTCCAGGTCAAGCAGAGATCTTTCCTTGTGAGAATTCTCGCTCTGTCATCACTAAATATACTGGTCCCCTCAAATGATCTCCGTTCCGGCATAATGCGCAATATGGATTTGCATAGATTATTCTGATATGAGGCTGTGGAACCTCATCTACGCATTTTTAAAGTGAATAAAAAAATTATTGGATATATATGCTTAAGTGCAGCTCAAAGAAAAAAAAATCCATTTCAAGACAAAAGATAGCCATCTCCTCGACCTTCTAGTCATCACCAGCTGATAAACATGCTTGGTGAAACTCCATAACCCATCCTCTTGATATCCACAACCCAAACAGAGGCCAACGGGGTACAAAAGGTCGAATAATTATTCACAAGTGCTAAAAGCTATCAAAGGGAAGCAAATAACACGGCAGGTATTTCACGTCCCAATCCCATGGCCAGTTCGATGCAAACCAAACTAATGACATTGGCCCCCTTCGAAAAAGAGAAAAGAAAAATAAGAATCCCCAGACCTTTTGAAATTTCTAAACGCCCTTGGAAATGCGAATTAGACGAATAAAATGAATAGGACCAAGGAAATATTTCACTCGATGCGCTGGTATCCGAGGATTGACGCCTGCATGCCATCCGCTCTCGCGACTGTATCCCACCCGGTTTCATCTACCTGCTCAACCAGTCAGTAACCAATATTGGGAAGAAAGGTTATAGGAATAAGATATCAACTCACAAAATTGTCATTGCATAATGCCCATTTCCCGTCTGGCTGCTTAACAAAGGAGATGTAATGACCTGTAGAGATTATCAGTAAACACTAACTCTGCCCACAAAATCCCGTGGAATGAAACTGACCGGCTGACAAACTTCTGCCACAGTGTGCCACTACAGAAATGAGCCGATAATGGACCGTCTTTCCCTTCTCTTGCATCGTCATTTTCTCATCGTACTTCAGTCTGTTCATGATCTTGTCGGCCTTGATGTAACCCCGATTCATCACAACTGAAGTCCACCTAACCACATTCAATACCAACACTCTCGGCAATCTTTCCACTTCAACCTGCTTGGTAAATTTCTTTCCGGAAGAGAATTTGCATTTCTCGCAAGTGGCATCGACTCTCTCTGGCTTGAAATGGTCGTCGAGGAGTTCCTTAACGGAAATCGCATTTCCTTGCCGATTCTCACTGGGCCTAATGGACGGTAGCAGCATTAAGGACGGTAGATCGGTTCTGTTGAAAGACCTGTGGCCACATTTCGGGCACGTAAGAACTGACGGGAAGGACGCATCGAATGTCTTGTCGATGGGGTTGTTTTTCAAGTCTTCCTCCTTGGGAGTCTTCTTTCCTTTTTCAGCCACGTCTTTGATGCGTTTGTTCAGCTGGTCTTTACAAGTGTGTAAGATAGCATGGAGGTACTCTGTGGCATCCTCTTGACGCATACTCTTGAACTGTTTAGGAAGGACTGCTTCAGATAAGCCAAAGTCGTGCATATGAAACACATGGAAATAGGATTAGAATTTACCCTTTCCTAGGCGAGAATTAATTCCCCTCAACACCTCATTTGTCTTGGACCGGGAGCGGGATGTCGACTCGTAATGATGTTCGGCGATAAGTTCGCCTAAAAAGCAACATACACACGAAGTTATCCTGCCTACAAGCCAAAAATAGGCGGATTAGAAAATGTAAATCATTGGAGAGTTGAATGTCCCAAATTACACTTGTCAGAATTGTGTTTTGCAATTTCCTCCTCAAGCTCAGGAATGCTGCAAATCAATTGAAGAACCGAGTTTCGGTAACAATCGTTAGCTCTGTTATGGAAGCCTTTTGTCTTGAGTGACGAAGTCCTTGTTGATCTCGTCACTGAAGACTCGCTCTGTTTGGATTTCTCGTTGATGTCCTTTCGGGGTCTTTGAGCGGCTGGGCCGTCTAGTTCTTCGGCTTTTCGTTTTTTTGAAGGCTGAATAAGAGTATGAGCTTCGGAATTAGGTATTGCTTTGAATTTCAAAATTACGAAAGATGGGGAGTAGTGAGTTGGTAAAAAAGGGAAAGGAGTGGGTATTTAATATCAAACCTTAACGGGCTCCTCCGTCACTGCTGTGGTATCACTATCAAGTTTCTTTTTTATCTTTTTTTGCGTGACATCACCATTTGTGAGGGTCTTGGCCTTTGGTACATCGCCATTTGTCAAGACTTTGGTACGCAACTTGGGACTTTTGTCATCAGCGGATGGTATTTCTGACATTTTAGTGTCCCCATTTGTAAGACTTTGGTGATCTTTTGTAACGCCATTTTCTGTAGCATCAGTCACAGCTTTATTGTTGATCTTTGCTTCTAGTTTCTGATAGATAGTGTTAGTTCCGTTATGATTATTCGATATGACTGCACATATAGTTACCATTTGTTCTTTATATTCACGAACAACTGGTGGGGAACTATCTTTCCCATTTATAACAACAGAAAATCCGATAGGTTTCTTCACAGGGGGGGCGGAAGATCCTTCAGAAGTGGTCACAGTGACCTAAACGAAGCATACATAAGTTCATGTAGTGCTTCTGCGATAATGGCGCACCCAACACTGACCTTAGCCTTGGCCGCATCCGGTGCGCCTGGTAAAATCTTGTACTCTTTAGTACCTGTAACACGAGAGTTATTTCGAGACTTTGGACGACATTTTCTGTATTGAGTAATCAGTTCCCATGTTCAATGATTGTGATTACATAGATTCGTGACTTACCTTTATCCATTTTGGGCTTTCAAAATCCGCACTCGATGCGCCGAATTTTTCGGTCTGAGGCCTGTTATAAACCGGCGACATGACGGAGGCTTTTACGAACTGAATCGGGTTTGCGAGTAAAAGGTCTAAAGGTGATTTTCCATTTTGTGTAGCAGATCCAAGAAGCTTGAGGCTAATGGCGGGGATAGTACTGCTCTTAGAAGAGTATGCCATAGTGGAAGATGAAGCTGAATGCTCCATATTATCGATATTTGACTTGATTTTATATGCTGCTTTAACGGAGGACGAGGCCGACGAGTTTATAGAATTTGTAGGGAGCGTCGCTGCAGATGCCTTCATTGAAAGGCGCACACTCCTAAAAATAAACCCTCCGCTTAAAAAGAGGACTATAGGAATTGTGTAATGAGTTTTTCGACCCGCTTCCAAATTGAACGGCGGGGCTTATATATGTGTCGAGGATCTTGTTTACCCTCTCAGAGAAGAGTTTGGTAACCGGCTCCAAAGTTGACCTTTACGGATCTCAATCCACCCTAACCAAGATTTGATCTTTCCCTACAGGATCCGGAAAGATTAATCGATCGAGACACTTGGGCTCCTGCTAGTGGACACCTTCGGCCCCAAAGACTCCCGATAAAAATAAGACTTCGTCCAACGTTGAGATGCGTAGTCAGGCGCCGCTTTTCAAAATTCTATTGGGCGCAGATCTCAGTGAATGTCGGAAACTGTAGATGATGGTCTACTGAGACTTTTTCTGTGGGCGCACTCGAACACCGCAGGACCAGTAAAAGAATCGCAAGCCAGCTCAGGGGAACGTTGTGGGAACGCGCAATTGTATTCTACTAGAAACTCGAAATTCCAAACCCTCGTGGTTGGTTGAAACTCAAAAACTACTTTGTCCAAGGCAAAAGGCATCAGCTGTCAGCAAATTGCGGCAGAGTCGCTCGAAAGAATTTTAAGCGCAAAGCAGCGGCTAGTTAGAACAGCGGGAATTAGAGACTAGATGAACCCACAGACGAAAACTCAGATGAAAAACAGATGTCTGCCAGACTTTACGGGGTAAATAAGGAGCCTGACGCCTGTTGTGGTGGTGGTGAGCGGAGGTAACGAGCGTCTTTGAAATGTCCAAAGGCCGTTGTCGCGCGCTCTCAGGTTTGGTTTGCAGCATACGCCACGAAAATTTGGGACGGCTTGGCCCCCCGCGCAGAGCCGCAGCCGCATGCGTTTGGACCCTGGCCCTAAGTGTGTAAGTAAGCATTTAAGATTTAAGCCTTGCGTCGCCAATCGTCAGTCGTCAATCGTCAATCAGGAATTAAGCACCAGATCTCACCCATCCAACCTCACCCTTGGCTGAAAATTCGGGCTGTAAAGTTCGTAAATTCTACCCAGAGCGACGTGGTGACCTGCTTCCCAGCGGAACTCGAATACTCCGCATCACGATCGATCACTCGGCCTCACACTGAATCTACGACGAAGGAAATACAAGCTCGTAGCACTTTCCTATCAGGCAGACGTTGATCATGGTGAATCATTCAAAAGATACCACATGGCCATAACGGATTTGGAGAGAGTTGCAATCTCTGCGTATGCCCGACTTAAGCTCCGACACTGGCCAGCAGTGGACTCGAGACATTACGTACATCTACTTGGGTTCATATAGACACTATAGGCTTGGGGATGTGTGATGAGCAAGGCCGGATACTAGTCTTGAGGACAGCTGCGTTACTCAATTCTAGCACATGCATGGTGCGAGAAGCCATAGGCGGGAGGCTATCAGCCCTAGATACACCATTGCCCACTGACAAGCCACAGGGTTCAAATCGAACGTGGGTCAAGAGCAATAGATCAAGTTACTTCTGCCATCAATTGCTTAACGGTAGCGGTGTACTTCACTCCAACTCTTTGACTTGCCTGACGCTGAGCTCTACCCTCCTCAGACTTTCAACGGGAAAGGGTCGGTTGCGTGCTTACTTGGAATAGACACAAGTAATCGACTGCTGGGTCAAGTCTCTCCCACACACCCCACATCACCACACCAGGCCTCCGCTGTGAATGTGAAATGATAGGGCCCCGGAGCAAACCATCCCCCAAATATCATCCATTGGCAGCGGCTTAGGTCTACACATCACGCCTAATATAAGTGTTTCGTGCAGTGTGGCCCACGCGGACGCTCGAGGCGAGGTTTGGGGGTGTCCTCGAGATGCCTCGTCCTTGTTGACCTCTGTCTTTTTCTGCCCTCGAAGTCCGGCACTGTTGTCCTCGAGGTGCCTCGAGGTGCTTCGAGAATAATAAAAAAACGTCCCGGTAGAGCAAAAAGCGACACCTCTTAAAATGAAAGGCATATTTTATTCATGACCTCATCCAATTAGGGCACCTCGAGTGTGTATTGTGGCCAAGAATGTCTTTAGAAGTCTTTGAAGCAAGGACACAAGGACGCTCGTCCTCGTAGACCATACTAGTTTCGTGTTGAGGAAAGACGTCATTTGAATACATGTAGTGCCGAAGAGCGTGTCAACGGTTGCTGAATAGATGTAACATCCGCCAAGGTTACTAGTACACTCTCTTCGTACCACATCACTCGACTGGTATTACGGTGTTACCGTTCCTCCAAAAAAGAGGTACGAAAATGTGTCTTAGTCACCCCCTCCCCTTCAGTCATTCGTTACGGTACACAGGGAAGGATAATTGCACATAGTATGTCGCCAGAACCCCCGCCAAAAGGGCCGTCTTGGCACAGGTGAGGATCATGTCCCTACTATCCATATGCCAAGACCTCTCAAAACTCATGTCCCTACTAATCTTGGCATGTCTCTGCTAACTACACAGAGCCATTCTTTTACCCCGTATGCCCTTTTGATTTCCCCTATTACACCCTTTCTTCTGCCTTGGTCCGGAGAACGGTTGGGAACGATAGTATATCGAGACCGACTTCGTGACTTTGGCTATGGGGAATAAACCGCCGACTGCATTCGTCCCTTTGAAATTTGCTGATGCTGGTACAGGAGGTTTCGAATGACGGCTGTTTGTCGGTGTTGTAGATTTGAGTTTATTTGGCATCGAGAAATTGTGGGTTCTGCAGATCTGGGCTTGGGGTCTTACGGGTCTTTGGGAGTTTGCGCTTATGAATTTTCAGCTTTTGGATTTTCGGCTTTTAGATTTTCGGCTTTTGGGGCTTTTAGAATTTTTTTTTTTTTTTTTTTTGAGCTCTTGAACTTTGGGTTGCGGTTTTCCAGCCTACATATATCTATTAAGCTCATCCTATCTTTGGCCACTTTCTGTTTATGCCAGGTGCAAGATGAACTCTACGTGTAGTCTTACATGCAGGCAGCCTACAAGAATAAAGTGAGTTCGAGCTAGCCTAGAAAACCACATACCGGCCATCCTCTACTCCCCATCTTCCCTACTCTTCGTCTTCGACACTCGTCTTGGCTTTGGGTTTGAGCTCTTCATAGCTTCCTTTCTCTTATCTGCGGGTACGTATGGCCTCTGTTATCTATTTGCTTCTGTGCTTCCGTATCTTTTTGGGTTTTGGTTTTTGGTTTTTGGGGGTTTGGTTTTTGGGGCTTAGACTTTTGATTTTAGGGGGGCTGCGCTCTGTGGCTCTAGGGAGAAATAGAGATAAGCTATGTGCAGTGTAAAGGTGAAACCCCACTATGTATCATAGCACTTTCCACGAAGACACTCGCCTGAGCCTAGCTGGATCCTCCCTGCTTGATGGCCATATCTGCGTGCATGCTGTTCGCTCCAGAGGGGTATTTATCTTCTTGGGGATAGCCCGGATAGGCTTATGGGCTTCTGTACTTTGTTGCATGCATGGGAGTGATTTGGATGTTGAGATAAAATGCCCGTTGCCAAGCACATTGAGCCTTGGCTTGACCGAGTGATATCCCATGCATCCAGCATCAGCATCCAGCACTCCCGTTATTATACTCCAGGCCAGCGATGGAAACAGCAATGACAGCAGCAATCTTTATTTCGAGAGCAAAAAGCAGCAAAACTCCGTACCTGTTCCTTTATGATACACGTGTATATGAAGCCGGCAAAACGAGAGAATTAAAGGGAAGCCAAAGAAAGGAAAGGAAAGGAAAAGGAAAGGAAAAGGAAAAGGAAAAGGAAAAGGAAAAGGAAAAGGAAATGGAAATGGAAAGAAAAAAAAGAAAAAAAAAGAGAGAAACAGAAAAAAAGAAGATCAGCTGAATTATCACCAACTACCCATCAATCTCCATCGTATCCGCCGCCGGCACCCCATTCGGCGCCTCTTTCCCCGCACCCCCACTCACCCTCTCCCTCGACTGGCAGCCCGGGCAATTATACAAAGTCTCATGACAAAACACATCACAATCAATACAAAACAGCCCCCTACACTCCGTGCACCGATAGCGACTACTCACGCTCGTGCCCCTCTCCGTCCTCGCCGGCAGCGCCCACTCCTCGCCGCCCCTCTCGGGCACGGGCGGAAACGCCACCTGACACGCCAGGCACGCCGCGGCCTCGCCCGCCTCGCCCCACGGCACCTCGACCCAGTTGCGCAGCGGGAACAGGTGGTGGTAGTGGCGCGCCAGGTGCGTCGACAGCACCAGCATCAGCCCGCACGCGGGGCACTCCATCGGCAGCTCGCACACCTTTGTCGAGCAGCGCGAGCACAGGTAGCCGCCGCGCGCGAGGCGCGAGTGGCACGCGCACAGCGACGCCGTGGTCTCGACGACGCGCGAGGGGAAGCCCCACATGAGCAGGCAGGCCGACGACTGCTTGGAGGAGCGGGTGACGGGCGGGATCGTGGTGTCGATGAGCAGCTCGCGGAAGTGCTTGTCGTCTAGGGCGACGCCGTAGGTGCTTGTGGAGCCGGCGTTGGTCTTGGACACGAGGTCGCGGCAGACGGCGACCTGGGCGGAGAGCCCGACGACGCTGACGCGGATCTTGTCGGCGACGAGGTGTGCGATTGTCTGGTGGATGTCGCCGGGGTCTGAGGAGTGCAGCGCGCCGAAGACGATCACTACTTCGCGGGTGCCGTGCGTCGGGGCATTACTATACCGCGGCGCCGGGGAGTATCAGTATCAGTATTCCGCTACCTACCTAGAGCAGCGGGGGGGGGGGGGCGGCCTTACAACAGCGCAGCTCTCGACATCTCGAGTGCGTTCTGCAGACTCGGGGAGCCCTTGGGGTCGTCCAGGCGCAGCTTCTGGATGGCCTCGATGTGGTCTGTCGGGTTTCCGGACATGTCGCTGACGCGCACGGCGAGGCCGTCGCGCATGCCCAGCACGGCCAGCTGCGAGATCGGGTTCTGCTCAAAGTACTCGCGCACGTAGTCGCACGCGTAGCGGATCGCGAGGAGGTAGCGCGTGGGCCGGAAGTCCTTCTCGGCCATGGCGATGGACAGGTCGAGGATAAGCATGACATGTCTGATGATGCCGCGCTGCAGCGGGGTCGTGTCTTTGAGCAGCCTGTATGTCCGCCACTCAGTCAGCTCTCAGCTCTCAGCTCTACTCTCTGCACCTCTCTGCTCTACTCTGCTCCCCCTCTACTCTGCTCCCTCTCTGCTCGCTCCGGGTGTAAAAAAAAGTACCTCTTGCGCTTCCCGGCTTCAAGCAGGCCCGTGACGTTGATGCTGCCGTCGGCGCCCTCGACAACATTGTCCCACGACCGCTTGATGTCCTCCCACGCCTCCTTCTTCTGCACCTTCTTGGGCTTTGACGAGGGCGGGCGCGCGCCTTTGTGGCCGCCGGCGCCGCGGCGGCTGACGGTGTGGGCACCGGCCTCATCACCGGAGGAGTTCACGTAGTCCTCGTCGGAGTCGGCCATGGCTGGATGGGTCTGTCTTTGGGGTTCGGGGGTGCGGGTGCGGGTGCGGGCGCGCCGGGGGAGCTTTGGGGTGGTGTGCGTTAGTCAGCAGCAGCGGCGGTGGAGCTGGGTTGGGTTTGGTGTGGGGTGTGGCGGTGTGGTGCGGTGCGGTGCGGTGCGGTGGTAATTGGTGGTGGTGCAGCTCTACGTGTAGCTGTTGATCAATTGTGGCAGGGACGGATGGCGAGTGGGTACTGGGAGCATTGCAGAGGGTGTCGGGTATTGAAAATATAGCATAACAGGCGAACTACATACAGGAATAAACAGTAACGAGGTGAATCTCGAAGGAATATTAGGATGCAGCATGTATATTCTAGTACAAATCGATGTCATGAGAGCTCACAGCTGCACACGGAGTAAGAAAGACGGAGACTTTTCAACTACATGTATCTAATATGTACTGCCCTTAATGCTGCGAACCTACTCGCCCTCTGATTGGCCAAGAGCGGAACCTAACCCTGACCTCTGCGTGGCAACGGGCGTGGCAACGGGCTCACCCAAAATGCCACCCCCAAATGCCACGGAATGTCAAATTTATACTGGGGGGTATTGCGCACTATTATCAAAATAAAAAAAGACCCCAAGCGGTATGTTTTGGGTGGTTATAGTATCTCTTCTTTCATACACAAAAAAAGAACAAAAAGTACTGTGCGGTTCCGGGATGAACTGGCACTACTCCCACCCCTGGGTCGAACCCTGGCCTTCTGTGATCGAAAGCAGGGCTAAACCTCGCGGTGTTCTTTGGCGAGGGTTAACCGTTGAACCACTCGCCCATGTGTGTTGGTGGCTAGAAATGGTATTTGTGCGCCAAGGATGGTTGGCTAGTGTAATGTACTACTGTCTGTACTCTCTGTGTCTGTCTGTACACCGTGCACAGCATCGTAGGCATCAAAGTGCCGTATTTAAGCTTTACACACAACTCTCACTGCAGATCGATCGGTGTGCTGTGCCCGTGTCGTGTAGCACGTGTGTGCTCACTGGCAGGCAAACTTTACCAAACACGGGCCTGCATCCTGTGCAACTACATGTATCGAACAAGATAGAGAACGGCATGGCAGATCAAGGACATCAGTATATTAGTACTGTGTCAAGACAACGGGTTTGGTTGTCTTGATGATATGTACCTGCGTATTTATCATGTCTTTGTTTGCTATAAAAGGAGACTGTTCCTTCTGTTATCGTTCAATCATACAATTCGATCCCCCTCAGTCTCTTGTAAAACCGCCATATACAAGTAGAGCATGACCATCATCCTCCTTTCGGTACCACTCGGGCCACAATACTGACCTGATACAGATGTGTGTGCTGGTAAGACAAGACAAAACAAGACGAACCAAAGGATAAGGTGTTGTAGTAGCTATAGTAGCTGGCGGATATATACATATAGCAACAGAGGCGGTCGTGGGCGCGGATATTACGAGGCGGATATGAACATTTGAGTGGGTGTTTCCTTGAGATTCACATACTCAAGTTACACAGCCCTTCGGAACCTCGACACCAGCCTTACAGCCCACCCACCCCCACCTCTGTCAGCAATCCTCAAACGCCAAGGCAAGATGGCCGAGTTGGTTATGGCGCAAGGCTTGGGTCCCTCCCCCGGAAAAACGTTTCTCCCCAGCACCGGCTTAGTCACGCGCAAAAGCAGTCCCACGCAGCCCAAGCCCTAGTCTCCACAACCACCCACGACCGAACAAGCAACCAACCCCCATCGATACACGCGGAAATTATCACCACCACCGACCGCACCCTAGCACACCAGCACCGCCGATATCAACTGTAAGTCCAAGTTCGCTGCCCCCAAAGATACCTACGGTTCCCCGAGTTAATTGTCGTCTACGATAGTCCGTTTTTTTTTCACCGTTAAAAACACCACCAAAATCGCCAAAAATGGAAAACGATAAGGGTGCGCACCCCCCCCCCCCCCCCCCTTTGAATCTCGAATCTCGGGAGTCCGAGATTCCCGACTACTCCCATAAATATCTATATAGACAGCTAGCTAACCCCCCCATTAGGAGAACTCGTCGACCTGTACCACCCCCCCCTCCGCTCCCAAGCACGCACCCTTCCACTACGCATACTAACCCAGCACGCACCGTAGCTACGTCCCCCGCAAGTGCAGCGCCACCAACCGCATCATCAAGGCCAAGGACCACGCCTCAGTGCAGATCTCCGTCGGCAAGGTCGACGAGACCGGCCGCTACACCGGCGAGAACATCACCTACGCCCTGTGCGGCTTCGTCCGATCCATGGGCGAGAGCGACGACTCGCTCAACAGGCTGGCCCAGAGGGATGGTCTGTTGAAGAACGTTTGGTCGGCGGCGCGCCAGCACTAGAGGTTTGTGTGGTCTTTCTAGCTGCTTTTGGGGGGTTTTTTTTTTGGGGGGGGGGGGGCAGTGGAGAGGGGCTTTGGGGCTGGAGAGGGAAAAGATGGGATAGAGACGAAACGGAGCCAATTGGGAACTGGAAAATTGTGGAGTTTCTAGAACGAAATGCTGACGAAAATGTGGGTGTGCTATAGGGTTTCTTTCTTTCTTTTCGCTGGGGCTATGCGGGTCAGGCATTTGTGTTTAACAAAAATAAAAAAGCATAAAGGAGTTTTTCGGGAAATCTCACAAATAATAAGAAATTGAGAGATTTTTTTTTCCTAAAGTCCCCCCCCAAAAATCAATTGGATACTCTTTTTTCACAGGTGCCTCGGAGATCCTATCCGAATTTAGTACAGTACAGTGAAGACGCAGGATCCAGCACTTGGGACTTGGGTGAGAAGTACAGCAGCTTGATATACGCCTTTCACCCCAACAAGCACGCGAGAATTACTGTGAAAATTACAACTCGCAATTATAATATGCATGGCTGTTGGCCGAATCAATGAACGAATGCTGAAAAACTGGCGAATTTGCGTATCTAGTTTTTAGAGAAACTCCTATTTCTGATCATTATATCCCGATAATAAAAAAAACCTTCCAATCGATCATTTCCACTTTTCTTTTTTTTTTCTTTTCCAAGCTAGTTACCTCGGCTCTTAGATGTCCCATCTCCTCTCTCGAGCTTCCCTTATGTATACCGAGCTCCTCTATATCTACACTCACCTCACTCCTCCCCCATACACAAATAAGCGGCCCACAGATCCCCTCCCTCACCCCGACACCCCCACGGTGACGGGAGCGGGCTTCACCCCTCCTTCCTCCCCCCCTCCTACCTCCCCCTACCTCCACCCGCCCCACCCCCCGACGCACAGCTATCGGAGGAAGTGAAAGAAACCGACACCCGGTTTCTTCACTCTTTTCTGGCACTGTGTCAAGGGAAAAGGCGGGGAAAAGGAAAAGGGGAGAGTAGGATTCAAGGAGGGGAGGGCAAAGGAGAAAAGGGCCGCAATAATTAGATCCCCCTCCCTGGTGGGGGTGACGGGCCTGCTGAAGAGCTGCTACGCAGAGACTTGTGTTGAAGCACAGATACGGGTTGGACATTACTTTTTTTCTTCTCCTTTTCTCTTTTTAGATATCGGGTAGCTGGAGCATAGAGTAGATAATAGGAAAAGGGGGGGGGGGGAGTCGAAATTCAATGTTTTAAGAATGTTTTTTTTAAATTGGTTTTGTTTGTTAAGTTATCCTCCGCGCTCTTCCTGCCCGTCTGTCTGTGCGGGGAATGATATGCCTGCCCTACATGATTACAGCCAGCCAGCCACCCAGGCTGTCGCTTGCTAACATGCCCGCCTACTGCTAGAACTAGAGTACCAATGCTTAAGATCTGTGCAGCCTAGAAAAAGTGTTTCTAGGCCTGTGCATTCCTCATATCCCTCCTCCTGAAGCTCAGCCCGTGCTATCCAAATAACATATACACCGTCTCATCAAGCCCATTGTTGTGTGATGTGCTCCCGTTTGTTTGTTCGCGCGTGCTGGATATCTGTGCTGTGGTATCGTAGGAGTTGCAATGCTTCTTTAACATCCCACAGCTCCCACCAGCCCGGTAGTTCCTTCTTTTCCCTCCCCCCACCTCTCAGACTGATCCGTAGCAAAACCAGGGGTATCGCAAATACAGAGAAGAAAAAAAAAAACCCGCTCAAGCTAGAACAAGTACACACCACGGCCAGCCACTAACTAAAAACTACCTCGAGAGAAGAAGAGAAAGAAAAGGAAAAAAAAGAAAAAAAGAAAAAAGCCACCCAAACCCAACCCAAAGCCAGCCATCCCATTATTCTCGTAAAAAAAAAAAAGAATGGCGTTTCCATTTAGCCCTCCGCCCCATCACCATGTTCCCTAAGCATTATAAAAGTTCGTAAAAAAACCATACACACAAAGATATGTAACGATAAGATAAAAAAAACGACTGACAAATAACCATTGACGCGGGGTGGTGACGGGGTTGGGGGTGAGTGAAAGAGTTATGATTTTCCGGATTGTTTTCCAAGTTTCTTCGAACAGTGGCAGGGCCTGGAAAGAGAAGAAAAGAAGAATTGGGAGAAAAAGAAGTGGGATATAGTAAAAAAGAGAAAACCATAAATATCGCCGAAAAATACATACCAACAAAAAACAAACCAAACCAAACCAAACCACCCGTAAAAAAAGAAAAAAAATTATACATGTGGCCACATTAGCTTTCGAAAAAAAGGGGAAAAAAACGATAAACAGAAAAACAGGAAAAAAGGGATATATATCATCCACCCTCCCCTCTAGCAACAGCAGTGTGTGTTTTCAAGGGTACGCTTCACTCATTGGCCGCATTGTGTCCTCCGGCCACTCGTCCTCCGTGATGCTGCTCCAGAAATACCACAAAAAGATCACCGCGATCAGTGTAAACCCAGTCTCGAAAAGGGCGCCGTCAATCTTTCCGTTCGTTGCTTCGCAGAGATGTACGCTGATGACGAAGTTGAAGACCTGGCCGACGGCGAATGAGAGTGCTGCAGCACTGAGACGTCCTATTTTTCCCACTTATCAACACCCGCAATCCCTAATTCTAGCTCTAACATCCAAAACCGACAAATTGATACTTACTCATTGGTATCTTTTCTCCCAGCACTTTGATCACCAGCACAGATTCCAGGATGACATATGCCGCAATCATGATAAGCGGGAACAGCAGATACAGTACATATAGCGCATAGTTCCTAATGCTGTCCGAGTCCTTTGTGAAGGTGCCTGTGTAGTTGAACCCCGTATCCACGGCAACATACGTCGTGCCAACAAAGAAGGCTAAAAACGACGTCCCCACCAGTCCAAGCGAGAGAGGTGTCCCGTCGTCCAGGAGCTGGTAGCCAACAACGGCGTTAAGCATCAGTACCCATGCGGTTGCTGTTATGGCGCCAATATGGAGGGCCGAGAACCAGACGAGAATGGTCTGGTTTGTGAGGAAGCCGCCGACGGAGAATATCTCGGTGATTGACATGAGGATGTAGCCAATGAGGAATATCTGGATTTCCCTGTAATTTGCATATCGTGATTAGTTGCATGCGGGATAAGCTTGTGATCAGTAGTAGTAGTACCTTCGTCCGACTGCGGCCTTTTTCCTTTCAGACATGAGTATCAACCCTATTGAACTACACACCGCGAGCGCAGCTAGTACAATTGAACCTACAAACAGTTAGCCCCGAGCCCAGTGGTCTAATATTAGGCGGCACGCTTAGACGCAAGCGCCCATAGCCAAATAAACTTGTTAACAAAATAGACGCACCCAAATTCCTTATATAGTTATCACTGTTGTTGACCGCGATTCCAACCAATTGACACCGCTTCTCCACCATCGGATCCGTGCCATTCCTGAAAAGCTATCATTGATGTTAGACCGACCGAACTGAACCGAACCGAGCGAACGAGCGATTGAACCGGCCGAGCACACATGCAAACACACACATAAACTCGGCTAGAGATAGGATGTAGGTACGGCGGGAGGATAGGCAGGTAGGTAGGCAGGTAGGTATGGACATCTAAAAGAGGAAGAACGTACGTTGCATACTGGCAATGTCGAATCGCGACAAAAGTCCTATGCATAGCCCCACCAGTTAGCATTCGTTTCATTCCCGGGGTTCGTGGAGTTGAACAGGTTTCGATTCTTTCTTGCTTTCTCTTCAGGAGTGTGTGCCTTGCGTTGTTGTTGCGCGTCCAGGCCGATCCCTCCTCGTCGTTCGTGATTCAGACCAGCAACCAGCAACCAGAAGCTAACCACCAAATTCCTCTCGACCAGGACAAATAGGAAAATGGTTTCCTAAAATACAACGTACGATCAAATAGAAATAATAAACTTACATGAAAGTTTCCGAATTGGGACATTGTATCTGCGAGATTGTTATCCTTTCCTCCACGCAACGCAACAGATCAGATCGATGGATGGATGAAATAGAATTGTTGCAGCTGTTCGCGAAAAAAGTGTTGTGTGTGGGTTGTTGGGTTGTAGAAGTAAAGTAGGAGAGAGAGGAGAGACACTGCAAGAAAGAAAAGGGACGGGGGGGACGGGATGGTGTGCAAATGTGTGCCAAACGAGTGTATAGTAGCGAGCGATAGTAGTGTGTAATGTATTGTATCAAGGGCAGGCAGGCAGGCAGCACTGGCAAGCAGAACGGGGCCCCCGGCCAACTGTTTCGTCGTTGTACAATATCGTCTCGTGGCGGATAGACCTTCGATGGAGGGGGGGAATATGCTTGAATTGAGTGAATGAATGCAGCAGAGTGAGTGCGTGAGAAAGAAAGGATGAAGGGTGGGCCGACAACGCGCGCAGCAGGACGAGAGGGGGATAACTGAGGGTATGATAATGAGGAATTCAATGGAGTAAGTGAGCGGGTGAGTGATACAATACTATCAATGTAGCAGGATGTATTATTACGGATGGTACTCTAGCTAGCTAGCTGGCAATGCGTGCTCTCAGCCCTTCAACTTTTGGAGAGGATGTAGAAGAATCAGAAAGCGAAAGAGAGAGAGAAAAGATCTATCGGAGGTTTTGTTTATCGCAATTGTCCCTGCGGTGTTGCCTGCTGCCTTTGGTTAAAGGAAAGAAGGACATGGGATGAGGGAGCCGGTCACTCCACTGTTTCGGTACAAGTACTGTAGGCCTCCCGGGGAACATGATGATGATCTACAGTACCACCCTCACTGATACATTTTACCTACGTTGTACGTACATGTCACGCATGCAGTCACTCGTTCATTCCTTCAAGTCCTTTTCTGCCACATTTCGGCATCATCATACATATTGTCTCGAGAATCATCGGCGGTAAAACAGCAATTGATTGCATCGATACTTGGGGAATACACGCAGTATTATATTAAAAGCCTTCAGGATTTAAGTGTGGCTAGGCAGGGTGCGAGAACAAGGGATCAAAAGGGTCTGACATCAAGGGTGTTAA